AATAGGAAAGGAAGATAGGAGGGACTAGGAGACAAGGAGGAAAGAGGAAGTAGTAAGGAGGAGCCAGGATGGAGAGTCTGGAGAGAGCAGTAAGAGGCAGCCAGCTCCGCTGCCAATAGTATAATATCAAATACAGAGTCTCTGTGCATTAATTGGGGCGCAGCGGTGGGCGGAAAAACCGTACCCTTATAGTGGTGCACTTGGGAAGCAGAGGCAGTCAGATCTCTTGAGTTCGAGGCCAGCCTGGTCTACAAAGTGAGTTTCAAGACAGCAAGGGCTACAGAGAGAAACCCTGTCTGGAAAAACCAAAACCAAACCAAAAATAAACAAAGAACCACTCATTCAACAAAGATGGTAAAGAAGAAATAGAAGCCAGGCTTTGTTGGCACAGCCTGCCATCCCACTGCACGCAATGGAACACAAATAAAAAACCATTTCAAAGATGACCAGCTCCTTCAAGTTCCTGCAGAGGTGACATCCCCACCATCACAAACTGCAAATGGGAACGAAGCCAAAATTAACCCCAAATCCCTTAAAAGATAAGTAAAAATAAGAAAAGGAATGTAAGGAGATCCATGCATTTTAGCACTAATTAAACTGTAGACTCTTGAGAAAACGACCAGGAACATCATGTGAATGCAGTCAGCTGTCCACGAAATGCAAACTCTTACAGGTATGTTTTTAACATGGTATCAGATTACACGGGGTGGGAGTGGTTAGTAGCGGGTAAGGGGTGGTTCTGTTGCTGAGGCACTTGCTCTTCTTCCAGAGGCCCCAAGGAAATTCCCAGCACTCAGACCGGATGGATCACGACTACTTATAATCCTGGCTTCAGAGGACCCAGCGCCCTCTTTTTGCCTTCCTTGACAATGCACTCATGTATCTCACACACAAAATCTTTTAAACCATGAGAAATTAAACTCAGGAAAATAACAAAAGGAAAAGCCTGTTCTTTGAAAAGATGAATGGGATTTGATAAAATTCAACTTGTCAAACTAAAAAAGAGAATGTGGATGAGGTCAAGTGCTTGCAGCCAAGCCTGATGACCTGAGTTCAATCCCTGGGCTCCACCATAGGAGAGAACTAATTTCTGAATGTCTGACCCTCACATGCAGTTTATGGCACACGTGCATATATCTATACACATGTGCACATGCAAATAAATAAAATGCACAAGACAATCTAGAAATTACCAATCTGTGATAAGAGGACCCAGTGATAATAATCTAATGGAAGTTAAAGAGACCACAAAGGAATATCATGAACAATTTCAGAGCTACACATTTAATAACTTGGCTGTAATTAACCAATTCTAATAAAGAAATGATATATTGAAATGGATACAAATAGAGGTAATAGGAAGAATGAAGGTTCAGGGCCAGCCCAAGCAGCAAGAGCCCCTGTTTACTCCAGTTCTACTCACCAACGATCCAATAAAACCAAGATCTTACATCATACCATGAAATAGAATTCATTATGCAGTTCAAACTGTCCTAGAATTTACTATGTAGCCCAGGCTGGCCTTTTTTGTTTTTGTTTTTTGAGACAGGGTTTCTCTGTGGCTTTGGAGCCTGTCCTGGAACTCGCTCTGTAGACCAGGCTGGCCTTGAACTCACAGAAATCTACCTGCTGCCTCCCTAGAGCTGGGATTAAAGGTGTGCCCCACCAATGCCCGACCTCCAGTCTAGCTTTAAACCCCAAATCCTCCCACCTCAGCCTCTGAATCCTGAGGTTATAGGCATGAGCTATAATGTCTGACTAGTATAAAAATTCTCACCCACTTGGCTGAAACAGAATTCACATTAGCAAGATTCAACAGAGTAAATCAACCCAGGAAAGCTGCTAGTACCACTCCAGTTCACAGGGGAGCCCACATTCTCAAGGTGGACGAATTTCTTGCTTGGCCCCAGTGGTACCTGATATCCAAGACCTGACATCAAAGTGAAACCCTGCGCTATACACCTGAGGCTGATGAGATGGTTCAGCAGGTAAAAGTGCTTGCCACCGTGGTCCCCTGACAAGACTTAGTGTAAAAAGGGTGTAGGTGGGTGGGAGAGATGGCTCGGCAGTTAGTGATCACTTGTTCTTTTGGAGGACCTGAGTTTGATTCCCAGCACCCATCAATCCACATCCGCACTCCAGATCCAGAGGGTTCAGCGCTCTTCTGACCTCTGCTGGTATCAGACACGCATGTGGTGTACATGTACACATATAGGCCAAACAACCACACATAATATAAAAGCAAACCATAGACAGGAAAGAGGAAGGAAGGGAAAGGAAGAAAGGGGCAGAAGAGATAGCTCAGCAATGAAGAATGTAGACTGCTCTTCTAGAACCCAGGTTTGGGTCCCAGAACCCACATGACAGCTCATGACCATCTGTAGATCCAATTCCAGGGGATCCGCTCTTCTGGACCGGGGTGGGGGGTGGAGTGGGGGAGGTGGGAGGGCACCAGGCATGTGCATGGCACACACATACACACACAGGCAAACATTTATACATGGAAGAAAAGGGCTGGAACATAGTTCAGTGGTTACACGCACTTGCTGCTCTTGCCCCCACAAAATCATCTGTCAAGTTCCAAGGAGTTCTATGGGTGCCCGTAAAGATGGCTGCACTCCATCCTGGTGCAAGGAGTTCAAAGCTGTCAGCAAGTCATAAGACCTAAAGGTCAAAGGTGTGCCTACAGAAGGATGTTTGGCTATTTTAGTCTAAATAACAACAGACCTGAATCTGAGGTGTGCCTACTCCTGACCTCAAGGCTAGGGAACAAGAAGTTGAACCCTTAGAATTAAGCGAGGAAGAAAAGTTTGTTCCTTCCATATACCTGATACTGTGTTCCCCTTTTGAATAAGGTATATAAGAGTGTTGAAAAATAAACGTGGCATTTCAGATTTTAATACTGACCTTTATTCTGTCTCTCTGTCTTTATCGTCTATAGCTAGCCTTTCTCTCATCCACATTCCCCGACTTGGGGCTGAGCGGCTGGCTCTGATTACAACCCCACAAAGACTGCTCCTGACAGAGCCCAATGTCCTTTTGGCACCAGGCATACACACCCGTCATCTGTCTAACCTCAGTGTGGGCCCTCCCGTCCTATTCACACACAGACACACACACACACAAAGTCCAGCCAACCTCAGTACGGGTTCCCTTCCCTTACACCCCTACACCCCTTCCAATAAATCAATGTAGCCCAGGCTGGCCCTGAACTCCCTATCCTCTTCCTTCTACTTCCCTAGTAGGGAGATTACAGGTGTAGGCAATGAACAATTGCTTTTTCCCTGTGTTTTGAGGTTGCCCCTGAATTTAATTATCTGGCCTCTGATCCCCAAGTGCTAGGGATTCAGGGACACACCACTATGCCTGACTTACTAGATAGAATCTGCTTTTTCCCTTTTTAACAAATTTTATGTGTCTGGGTGTTTGCCTGCACGTATGTCTAGGTGGCATGTACATGCTTGGTACCTGCAGAGGCCAGAAGGTGCTACCATCCTTTGGGACTGGAGTTTCAGACAGCCATGAGTCACCATTTAAGATGGGGTCTCATATACCTAAGCCTGAACCTAGAAGCTAACAGCTGGGTCTGGCCTTGAATTCTTCCTGCCTTTCCTTCCCAGTAATGGGAACCACAGGCCTGTGCCACCACACCTGGTACCCACATACAAAGGAAGACAAGAAGGGGCTGTTTCAAACACCAGCTGCAGTGGACCTGACAACTCTGGCCTCTGCAGACACCTGCACTCAGGCACACACACAAACATACAGACTGTCACACAAAGATATCACAATTGAAATGAAGAGGTTCAGTAGGCAAGGGAGGGAATGGGGTTTGTGTGCCTATAATTATAGGGCAGCTTCTACCTCAGAAGGTAGAAGCACTTTTGCTACTCCTTCAATGGGGAGAGGAGTTTAGGTCGGACCAAAAAATCCCCCCAACCCCCACCAAACAACAAAGTTTCTCTTTTGAAGGTTGAAAACTTTAACCCATCCCAGCCTGAGGCCACACAGTCCCTCCATACAGTCACTCTAAGAACATGCAGAGGGAAGGTAGCTGAGGCTTCTCAGCTTTCAGTCCAACAAAGTGTGAGCCACAGACAGTGCCTGTTGGCAAGTTTAGAGGTTTCAGGGCCGGGCATCGGGGGTTCTAAGGAGGACTAGAATTTCCTAGGGTTTGGTTATCAGTTTTCTGGTAACTCCTTGAGAACTGAAGTTCCCAAGACAGAGAGCAGGACTGCCACACCAACCCCCGTAGATTCTGTGTGACAAGTTCCACAGATTGAGGCAATAACTTTAAAAGAGGGAGGTCTCCTGGAACCGCTGTGGATCTCTTGCCTGAATCAAAATATTGAACCGTAGATCTCCTGGCAATTTCTGTTTGATCTTCTATTCTGTTGTCATATTTGCAAGATGTTCCTGATAGCCTACGCTGAGATTTTAAGCAAGAGAAAGAGATAAGAAACCATCCCTTGAGATGGGATCACTAGCCATGATCTTCTCACTGGGAAAACCAGTGCTTTACTTTATAAACCATTTATAAACACACAAAATAGTATTATGATAAATTTCCCAATATAAAACTCCTGTGTGTATGGCTGTATGTGTGTCATCGGAAGTGGGCTTCAGTGTTTGGTAAAGAAAGCTTTTAATAAAGAATTAAAATAGCTCTAATTTATATTTTGAAGAGTCACAAGAACTAGATAATAGATGTTAAACAATAACTGACCATAAAAATTTATTAACCTGATCTAGGAAATATGCAGTTAGCCTTAGATGGTTTTGTGCTTTACTGTGCCAAGTGGCAATGATGGTATCTGCCTATCCAGGTTTGGTTCACTAAACATATCTGAGAAAATTAATATCTGTTTCATATGATAAAAAGCCTTGCTTGAATGCTGCAAAATACACTCAGACTCAAGCTGCCTGTGTTTGTTTCTGTTTGTCACTGCCAAATCCTTACCCACCTAGCTTTAAGGACTCTTGTTCCAGGACCCCCATACCTGACTGGGGTGGTCTGGGGCACAGGACAGAAGGAAAAAGGAGGGAGAAGGAGGAAAAGCAGGGAGAGAGGGAGAGCGAGCGAGGGCTCACGTTAAAGATTCTGAGGCCAAAGTGACTGCAGATCGGAGAGGTGACCACACCTTTAATCCCTAGGCCACCCTAATCCAGAGTCCCAGGGCTGCAAGAGCTGGAGAGATGGTTCAGTGCTTATAAGCACTTTCCAGAGGACCTGGATTCAGTTCCCAGCACCCACAATGGGCCATTCACAACATTACAAATAGTTTTTGTCCCTCTGAAAGCCTACATCCTCATGACTATCAAAAACTTGACAAAGCTTCGGAGACCCACAGCACTGAGTTCCCACTTGCTGCAAACCTGTGTTCCACTGGTGTCCTGGAACTGTAGACCAGTCTGTTCTCCAGCTCAGAGATCTGTCAACATTCATGCAACCACTTCCACAGTGAAACAGCGTGTGAGGAGTGTTTGGGGTCCTGGCCATGGCCACTCATATATGGATTCAGAGTAAACTATGCGTTTTTGTTGACCTTTGGGATGAGAGTTGTTTTTTTCCCCGTTAACATGGGCTGTATGTATTATGATTGCTCTCCCTTCTGTTCCTGAGTCCCTGTTTCTTTTTTTTTTTTTAAATTTATTATAGCATTCTGCCTGCAAGCCAGAAGAGGGCACTGAACTCATTCTAGATGGTTGTGAGCCACCATGTGGTTGCTGAGAATTGAACACAGTGCCCTTAACCACTGAATGGTCTCTCTAGCCTTGTTTCTCTTAAGTAGTCAGTCAGCTGCCACAAAACCTGTCTTCAGATACAGGTTTTGAAACAATGCTGGCCAGTCAGGATTACACCCCTCTTGTTTGTGGTGTAATGGGGAAAAGAAACCTACAGCACCTAAAGGGAAATTATTCCAAGAAGTTGCAATTTTTATGTTGGGGTCAAGGACTGTTTTTTTAATGTTCGAGTGCTGTCTGCATATATACTTGTAAGCCAGAAAACAGCATCAGAGCTCATTACAGACGGTTGTGAGTCTGGGACAGCCCAGGGGAGAAATATTTTTATGTTCCCTTTCTCTCATCCTAGGGACAAGATCTCATCAGGTTTATGAATATGCACATAAGCAAATACATCTTTAGAGAAAATAAGCGAAACTGAAAGGGACCTGCGCGATGGTTCAGCTTAACAGATACTTGTTGCGAAGCCTGACGACTTGTATTCGATCTCCAGAATCCACAAAGTGGAAGGCATGTCCGGACTCAGACCTCCCCAACGGCCCACCCCTACAAATAAGTATAATTGAAAACATCAGACTAACATATCTAGAAGCAGCCAGCCCCAAGAGTAATTAACCTAGAGAGGGCTCTACGCATCCCTTTCCACTTGAATTCCTGAACACACAGCATAGCGATGTCCCTTTCCATTGCGGTTCGGGTGCATGCTTCCGAAAGCGTGGTCTGCAAACGCTCAGCAAGTTCCGGGAACTCCCGAGCGGCCGAAGCCGGAGCCCGCAGCCCCTCCGCCCACCAGCCCCGACCCGCGTCTCCACGCCGCACTCACCATAGCTTGTTTCCGCCCTCCCTGCGGTCTGCCTGCTGCGACCCAGGACCGTGTGCGCTGTGGCAAGGCGAGTGAGAGCCGAACAGGGCGGTACCGGAAGAGCAGCTGCCCGCTACTGATTGGACGTCTCTGCTTATACGCAATTCCGATTGGCTCCCCGAAGTCTCTGATCCTTGATGGACAGGACCCGTGATCTGATGCCTCCAGTAAGGTCCTGAAACTAGTGCATTCTAGAGCAGTCCTGCCCCTGCCAGGTTGCTGCCCAAAGGCATCCCACAGCTGGCTTGATCTGGTTGGTCCTGTGCACCCGGCTGAAGGTAAAGCCTGGAGTTCCAGTTTATCCTGGGTTACATGGTGAGAGGTCAGCCTGGGCCACAGGAGACCTTGTCTCCAAAAAGGACACAAGCAGAGCCCAATTTTTTTTCACAGAAAATTGGGTGTGATGGCACACACAACCTGTCACTCAGCGTTTGGAAAATGGAAGCAGGAAGATTAGGAGTTCAATGCTACCGAGGGCTACAATGAAACCAGTTGGGGGCCAGGTCAATCTGAGGCTTTCTCAAAGGCCCAGATTCAAGACAAAGGGAACACTAGTTTTGTGTCCTTGTCCAGGGACAGACTTGGCAAGGTCCAGAACTATGGCCAGAGCCTGGAGGGAGTCAAGGTTTCAGCCGACTTCCCGTCCTCCCAGGGCTGTGGTTATCAGTCCCAAGGCCACTATGTGCTTGGTCTGTGTTCTTGACATATCCTGTATTCTCTTTGTGCAGAACTGCATGATAAGGTTTCCTGTTAGGGATTGATGGAGGTAGTCTGGAAATATGTAAAAGCAAACAGAGGTCTCGATGAGCTGAGGTAGTTACCAAAGAAGACTCCTCACACATGGCTTTAAGACAATAGAATTGGGGAAGCTGCCTGACTCCATTTTGAAGGCAGTAGCTGTTATACTGTCCTTTTTTTTTTTTTTTTTTTTTTTTTCTCCCCTCGACTCGAGACGGGGTTTCTCAGTGCCTGTCCTGGAACTCGATGTAGACCAGGCTGGCTTCGAACTCACAGAGATCCATTTGACTAGTCCTAGAGTGCTAGAGTTAAAGGCGTGTGCCACCTTGGCCTAGCCATTATGCTGTACTCATTTTTAAAGTTTCTATTTACTGTGAGAGTTGAGTTGCCTTCTGTCTCCTCGAACCTGCCCTTCCTCAACTGTGACCTTGACCTATTTTTGAGAATACCCTGACTCCTCCCTAATCTCACAGTGGGTGAACATATGACTTTTAAAGTGTCCCACGAGATGGATTCAGGACTGCTCTCTTTAACAAGACTTTGGAGGCAGTCACTAGCTAGCTCTTGGATGCACCCCAATAAAAATCAAGATTGCTCCAAATTTGGTTCAAATTGTGGTAGTGGTTGGAAAGTTTCTATACCCCTATAAGACTCTCCACTGATGCTTGAGTCCAAATCAGACCTTCTAGCTCCCCACATAGGAGATGGGAAAGAGAGACTGGAAAAACCACAAGTCTGTTCTCTGGGGACAGTTTAAATACCCTGCAGGAGTGATCTTGAGTGTCTCTGGGGACAGTTTAAATATCCTATAGGAGTGATCTTGAGTGTCTCTGGGGAGAAGTGACAAATCATTTGTCATTTGTCAGGCTTTCTGAGATGCATCAGGATTTGGGGGTAGGTGGGAGAGGGGGATTGGGTAGAACCTCCACCATAACATTCCAGATTCTTTGGGTCTATGGATGCCAGGGGCTGGGGCAAAACTTTTACAACAGTGGTCTCATTCTTGACATGGGATTAACAGAATGTGTTTATTAGCTGATTGGAGACTGTACTTGGTATTTGGGATCCCTGTGTAGCCCCCAGCCTTTCTCAGGGTGGGCTTTTAACCGTGTCCTGGGTTGACATGTTTCAGGTAACAAGAACAGTCCGACGTGGAACGCCTAAAAGCAAAGTCAGTGTGTTTAGAGACATCCCCACAGCTGTGGCCTTTGATGGATCCCGTTTCTTTTTTCATTTTTAGCAGGTGGTGCTGTCAGTGTGCTGAGTTTTATGATCTGAATGGCACTTCCATCATGGAGTTAGTTGTGCTAAGGTCTGGGGCCTTGTCAGGAGGACATCTGTCATTTGTTCTGAGTTTGAGACCCAGTGTGTTTGTGTGGTGTGTGTGTGTGTGTGTGTGTGTGTGTGTGTGTGTGTGTGTGTGTGTGTATGTAGTGTATTGCAGTTAAATAAGGATTAGGATAAACAAATAGGCCGAATAGATGTTTAATCAGGGAGAAATAACTTACAACCTAGACAGATTAACACCAGCAGGCTCCACTGGATGCTCTCCTCTCCATGACCCGCCAGCAAGAGTGCGTTCCCTGGCTCTTCCTCAGACCTCCTTCCACAGTTCACTTCTGCTCCATCCCCCAATGGGCGTGGTCAGTGCCACAGAAGGAGACAAAGTGAATATCCCACTATAATTCCCCTTTAAGTCTAAAGAAAAGATTTAGGCTTGATACAAAACTATATACAAAACAGTGAATAACAAGTGTGCTCTAAGAAAAGGAAAATTGAGAACAAAACGACCTACATATCTAGTCCTAGGGTGAAGGCATAACGGAGTTTACAATAGAGTTGTCCTAAGCTGGAATAGTTGTGATAGTTTAATCTCCAACCTCATCAAGACCTGAGAAGGAAAACAATGATACTAGGGTAGACAGGAAGTACAGACGGGCAACTTCCAAAAGCTGCAGTGAGGTAAATGGTTAATGATCACAGCCAATTATTTTTAAAGGTAAAAAGGGGATTATGGTATAGAAATGGATACTTTGTTTTGGAATGGATTTTCATTTATTGATACAATTTAAGGTCAATTTTGTGATACCTATATTTCTCTTGTTTAGGTATTGTGTTTATATAGCTCATTGAGGAATGTAATGTATAATTTAGTGCAGATTATAGATAGTTACTTATAATAGTCAAAACTTACAGTTAAGTTAGTTAGGTTTTCTAGATATATAGAGATGTATTTGAGATGGATAGGCATTCTTCAAACCTTTCAAAGACCTACAGAATATGGCCTTTAAAATGGTTTAGGGTTTTTCTTGACAGTGAGACATAACTGCTCCTGGCAATACCACCTGCACCAAAAAGAAGATGGAAGATGGACATTGAAGAAACGTGTTATGGAGTTTACCTCCAATATGGCAAGATTAGCCATTTGGACAAGATACTGCTCTTGTCTGGACTGTTTGACTTTATGCTGTATAACTGGACATGCAGGACCCACAGAAAAATGACTGCTGATTCAAGATGGACATTGCTATAGGGTTCCTGCTTCATGAAAAGAGTCTGCCAGACAGTCTGCAGGACACAGAGAAAAATGACTCAGGCATTTAGGTCATTAACCTTTCATTCCCAGACCCTGAAAATAGATAAAAAGATGAGGTGATGCATTCTCTCACTGGCTACTTCCTGTTGAAGGGGATAGTGCAGTGGATTGTCTCAAGCATCTAAGGGGGCATACATCAGGCTGACCTCATGTAGCAGGAGGAGAGCTTTTACCTGATTGACTGGGCTGTGGTGGATACTGAAATTGCCATCATGCTGTCTCAGAGCAACTTCTGAAAAGTACTCTTTAGGGGGTCTTTTCTGCTGCTCCCTCCTCTGTCCTCTCTGTCTGTGTCTCTTTACCTCTTTTCTCTCTCCTTCCCCCTTCCTTCCCCTTTCTAATACAACTCACTTAATCTGTCTGCCTGGCACACTTGTCCATCTGCCTGTGTCTGCTTGCCCTGCTGCAGACTGCTCAGTGGGCAACGGGTCTGCGTGGAGACCAAAACTCGGATGACCAGGTCAGGAGTGGCTTCGGCATGACAGACAGACACAAACATGTAGCGCCCGCGCTACCATCTGTTCCACGAATCGGGCGAAGGCCTAGATTCAATGGCAACGTCGGAACGCCAAATGCCGAATGCCCTTTATTGAGAGGGAAAGAACGGGCTTAAATACTGACTTATAGCATAGTGGAAAATTGCAGGAATTTTAGGCTTAGCTCCTCCCTAGGAGGTGTGTGTTGTCAGGAGGTGTGTGTTATCAAAATGGGAAGAGAACCAACAGCAACCTTGGGGCAAGGAGTTCCTGCCAATAGCTTGCTCAAGGAGCCTGGGGGGTCCATGCAGAGCCCTACACAAACACACTTGAGGAGGTTTGCAACCGCTGGGATTTTTACTTTATTGTGTTTTTATGCAGAAAGTTTAAGGAACAGATCTTTGGCCACAGTTTAAATATTTACAGACATTCTATAGAAATGTCAGCAATTCCCTTGAAGCATGAGATCATAAAAACATCTAAGTAAGTGCATAACCGGAAACCTCTTTCTATTTTGGCCTGCTTTGGCCTGCCTGTGGTCATTGTACCAGAGATTTGGTTTACTGAGTTTAGAGAAAAGTCATTGTCTCTGATCAATAAACTTTTAACAGCATTGATAAGAACTCTTGTACTGTTTTATTGATGTTAGAGAATAGTCATTGTCTTTGATCAGTAAACCTTTAACAGCATTGATAAGAACTCTTGTTGAGAAAATACCTCCATAAGATCAATCAGTTAGCAAACCTGTGAAGCATTTTCTTAAGTAGTAATTAATGGGGGAGAGCCCTGCCCATGGTGAGTGGGGCCATCCCTAGGTTGGTGGTGGTTCTGGGTTCTATAAG